GAGGCAAGGAAACCACCCACTGTCTCTGCACATGCAGCGAACGCCTTGAAGGTGCTGTGAGCATGACCGCCGGCCAGCCAGCAGCCCATGTGGGTACCATTTTCACCAGCCTCGTTGTCAGATGGGCAAACAGAGGTTCCCAGGTCCCACACTGAGAAAGTAGTAGCACCGGGGTTCTGTGAGGTTGGGGGGTCAGGCCTGAGGCCCACTGATGGCCCCCACCCCAAGGCTGAGAGTCTGTCTCCTGCTGAGCAGGCAGTCAGGGGACCGGGCGGTGCCCTGGAGGAGCTGCCGGGAGCCAGCAGCCAGAGAAAGCGGAAACTCAGAGTAATTATTATTTCCTTTCATTCAAGCCCTTTAGGTTTGAAAAGGTGGATGTTTTTCCCGGAAAGCCACGCAAACACTAGGAATAGATTTCTTTTGTGCAGGACCTCCGGCTGGTGGCTAATTGCCCCAGAACCAGAAGCGACCTCCCTGAGGTGCCCTATCACTATTTAGAGGAGCAGAGAGGGCGTTGGCATCTGAGGAGGAGACAATGTGCCCCCTCCTGAGACAAGCGGGCAAGAATGCACCCCGATTTGGCACTGCCGGAGTGTCCCCGCATCCCACAGGATGCCTGCCCCACCTCACCCACGCAGGATCCTCCCACTTGACAGGTGATGGGGTGGGGTCCAGAAAAGCCGAACAGCTGTGGGAGGCCAGCCTGGTGCTGTACGTAGGCCTGCTGGGCCCAATGCTTACCTGGCATAGCCCCCTCTCCTTCCTGCTCAGCTCCAGCTCTGAGCGTCCTCCAAGACGCCACAGTAAACTCAGACTCCCTGCCATCGAGCTGGTTCTGACTCACAGCAACTCGGCAGGGTAGAGGAGGGCTGTCCCTGTGGGTTTCCAAGACTGTAACTATTTAAGGGAGTAGAAAGCCTTGTCTTTCTCCGTTGGAGAGGCTGGTGGTTTTGAACTGCTAACCTTGTGGCTAGCAGCCCAGTGCATAGCCACGGCACCACCAAAGCTGCCCCGGTGTCCTCCTATAGGCCCCTAAAGCCGTGCTGTGCCAGGTGGGCCAGCTCCTTGGGTTTTGGGTAGGGGTGAGTCCAGGCTTTGCCTGCTGGATGGAGCATCAACCCCCAAGGACCAAGACTTTGGCTCTAGGCACGGGCTGCTTCCCTGCTGAGCAGAAACTTTCCAGCCAGCGGCCTGGCATTAGACCCCGATTCACCATGGCCCTGGTCCCCAGGCAGAGCCACGGGCAGGAAGGTGAGGGATGAGGAAAGGCAGCACCCCAGGTCCCCTCACTGAGGCTATTTAAACCATCGCACAGCTGGAGGCCTGTGTGCCCAGAGCCGTGCTGGGGTAGGGACACAGGCCAGCAGGTGCCATCATCTCTGTCCCAGGGAGCCAGCAGGCTATGGGGAAGCCCACTCACAGCAGTGACTCTCAGACAAGGTTCTCTGGCTCTCTGTGACTCAAGACCAAACCCAGGAGCTGCTTGGACTCCTCACCCCTCAAACGGGGCCCCAGGCAACAGCCTTGTCCTCTCCACATTTCCCAGAGTCCCCAGCAGCTCCTTGTCCTCACGAGACACACAGAGATGACCCTCTTTATGGGTGGGGGGGCCTCAGCTTTGGGAAGAGGGAAGTGAGAAAGATGGGTGTGGAGGCAGCGGGCTGCAGGGTGAATGGCCTCCCGGCAACGAGGCATGGGGCTCTGAGACAAGAAGGGGTGAGGGCGAGACAGGAGTGTAATGGGTGCATGGGGTGGGGGCACCGTGATGGAGAAGTCTCAGGGCATCAGGACGTTAGCACAGAAGTCAGTATATGTTCCCGATGCCCTGGTGGTAAAATCTAAACTGTGATGTGTGTGTGTGTGTGTGTGTGTGTTCCTGTGCGCACGCACCAGGCTTGGTTACCAGTGAACTGGGACTTCTACCACGGGGCTTCTCTGAGCCTGTCCCATGCTCACAAGCAGAGAGAGGCGTTGCCTCCTGGCCCCTCCCATAGCTCCTGCTGCCCCTCCCAGTACCAGGAGCACCTGCCCACAGAGAACACAACAGGCCCAGGGGAGGCTGCGGGCCCAGCTCAAAGCTGCTGGTAGGAAAGCGGCCTAGAAGGGCCCCTCACCCACCTCCCCCCAGCCCCGGGGCCACAGCCGATGGTGTGGCTTGAATGTTTAAAATCGAGGCGGACTAAAGGGGAAATGTTGGCAGGCTCTGAGGTACTTGTAAAAACGTCTGGGCTGACGGGAGTCTGGGCTGCGGGCCCTTCAAGAGATGGGAGCAGAGGTGAGGAGGTGGGAGGCCCAGAGCAGGGGCTGGGGCCAGGGCTTCTGGAAGAGGCTGGCTGGGGGTGAAAGAGGGAAGCCGAGCCCAGCACCTGCCTTTTCCAGCCTTCCCTTTGGAAGGGTCCAAACTTTTGCAGCTGGTAAGGCTAGGCTGGGGACGTGTCACCTTTAGTGCAGACCCTAGCATGGCAGGGAGGGAGGTTAGGGCAGGGTGGGGGTGGGGACAGTCAGGGGCATCAAGAAATCAAACACCACCATGGGAAGTGCTAGGGCTCCAGGACTGGCCAGAGTTGGTGTCATGCTTGACTTGTGTCCCCCCAAAGATGTGCTCAAGCTCTAGCCCCCGGCCCCTGAGGGTTATGGCCTTGCTTGGAACCGGCTCTGTGCAGATGCAGCTAGAAGGCACAGTGGAGTTGGATGGTCCTGATTCAACCTGACTGATGTCTTTACAAAACAGAGAAGAGACCCAGAGGGGAAGATGGCAGCCAAGGTTGGAGGGATGCCGCCACAAGCCAAGGACTGCCTGGGACCACGCGAAGCTGGACGAGTCGAGGAAGGACCTTCCCTGGAGCCTTCCGAGAGCACAAGGCCTGACCAGACCTTGCATTCAGGCTGGAAAAGACCAGGGAGTTCTCACTCTGCTGTTCCAAGCCACCTACTTTGTGGTGTTTACCGAGGAAACACATCTATATGGTTCGTATCCTGCTTGGCCCCTACTAGCTCCGTGACCTGGGGCAATGGAAGCCCCTGCTGGAGACACCTGCTTGTCTGCAGGGCCAAGCTGGTGGACTGTAGAGGTGGCAGCAGGATTGAATGAGGCTGTGCCTGGCACAGGGCGGGCCCTCACTGCATGTCAGTGACACAGAGGGTCGTTGGGAAAGGCCTCCCCAGGGGGCAGCTGCAGATACTACCAGCCAGGCAGCCTTAACAAGTGACCCAGCTCTCTGGGACCCACAACTGGTCCCTTTTGTGGGCACCGAACCCATCCAAGAGAATGTCTAGGAGCGTTGGGCACATTGTGGGAGCTTAGTTCCTGCGCTCTTTATTATTCCACCTCCTAGGGCTGACCACCCCTCAGTGGAGCCTGGCAGGGTACTGGGTTGCTTTCTACTGCTGTATGGCATTACAGTCAATCTCAGAAACCCTCTGGGGCAGGTCTTCTTTCTCCTCTAGGGTCGCTAGGAGTCAGGAAAGACTCCACAGCAGACAGGTTTTTGTTTTAGCTTTTTATGGATGTGGAAATCGACGAGAAGCTCAATATTATCAGTTAGTAAACAAGACAAGGGACCGATTTTGAAGCAGGCCACCAACTGCTCCCATGCAAGTTCAAGTTGAAACTGAAAGAAAGCGAGTCCTTGAGAGTCACCATACAACCCACTGAATTCACAGACCGTCTCAAGAGCAGGTCTGACCCCCTGAACACTGATGACCCAAGGCAAGACGAGTGGGGGGATGCCATCAAGGATTTCAGCTAGGAAGAAAGCCTAAGGTCACCACAAAGATGGGAAAGAAAGAAAAGAACAAAGCAGGTGTCGGAAAAGACTCTGCCACTTGCTTTTGACCAAGGCGCTGCCAAAGCAGAAGAAGACATGGTGGCGGCTCCAGAGCCACACAGAGATTGCCAAGGAGGACTCAGGAGCCTCCTAACAAAAGAACAGCCAGGGAAGCGCAGGCGCGCGGCCCTTCTCCAGCTGAAGAAACTGCAGAAGCAGTGCAAACGTTGAGTGGGGCTACTGAAGGGTTCCACCGGGGAAAGACAAAAAGGACGGGCGCAGGACATCTCAGAAGCAGACGGGAGGAGATCCAGAGGCACTGTATCCGCAGTGGTTGGTTGGCACCCAGCTGCTTCTGGAGGGAGGCTGTGCTCAAGGACTGCTGGTGTGGAGGGAGGACCTTCAAGCCGCAGCACTGCAGGCCCAGGAGCAGAACGAGTCTCCAGGAATCGACGGATGCCAGGGGAGGCGCTTCTGAGTGGAAGCAACCCTGGCAGCGCTCGCTCGTTTGTGCCAAGGAGTCTGGCCACCAACTGGCAGAGATCCATGTTTGTGCCCCCAAAGAAAGGTGGCGTGCCAGAAGGTGAAGATCATTGGACCCCATCACAGGCATCACACAAACAAACGTTTCGGGGTCCAGCGTCCACCTGGAACGGGAACTCTCAGCGCCTGCTCTGAGCTGGGGGGTGGGGTGAGGGATGTGTGTGTGCATACTTATGACCTTGCTCCAAATGAGGGCCAGGAGATTAAAAACAAAAGCCACCCCCCTGCAGGCCCACCATTGTGCCACCAGCAGCACCTGTGGGTGAGCAGGCACCCAGCTTAGCACCTCTCCTGTGTGGCCACGTTTCCACCTGAGAACTCTCACAGCAGACACAGCGGAGGCCCAAGGCAGCAGCCCCGCAAGGCAGGCTGTTTGCCGAGGGCTCTGTGTGGCTCCCAGAACAGTGGCCCTGCTCGGTGTCCGAATTTGATGTGGCCACGCCTGCATCAGCCCTGCCACTCCTGCCCGGGTTTCACGGTCTTGTGAGGGGTGTGATGATGTCTGCCGGCGAAGAGCTCAGCACTAGGTCTGAGGCTGGCATTCCCTCTGTGAGATGCCAAGAATGCCCCTGGCCCAGAACAGCGGCCTGTTGCAGGATGGGCAGCAACACCCATGCCACCTGGCTCTGGAGCACCCACTCCTGGACACGGCGCCCACCCCTCCTGCTGCCGGGTGGGGAGCCTTCTTACCTTTGGGGTGAGGTACTTGGTCATTATTTCCTTCCCTTTCTCTCCCAGTTTTTCATCTGGAGTAACTTCATAGTCTGCCTAGAACGGAAGGAGGAAAAGGACAATCGTACATTTGCTCATGAGTGTCTTACTCCTCTCTTCTGACTGGGCAGGAAACTGAGGCCCAAAGAGGGAAGAAGACCGGGCCAGGCCCAGATGTCCCACCTGCTCACTCGGGGTCTCCATGGACTCCCTGTTGAGCTGCAGGTGGGAATTCCCAGGAACAAGGCCTGGGGCTGGGGCTCCACACCGACACAGAGTCAGCCCCTTTGGGAGGGGAAGCTGGGCAGCTGGGGTCGAGAACCTTGGACTTCAATGAGTCAAAGAAAATGGGCCATTAACAGGCCACCAAACTTGGGGGACCCAGGGAGGCCACCTCGTGGCAGTCGCACATCGCAAGCTGCACAACCTCAGACAACTGCCCTTGATTCCGGGAGGGAGTATGCCCCCCAGGAAGTGATGCTGGACACGGGCACTGTGGCCTCTTTGTGAATAGAGCCTTTTGATAAGGTTTACTCAAGTGAAATGGGGTCTTATACCTGGAGGAGAACAGACACACACACTCCCCACTACCACTGAGTCAGTACCCACTCACAGTGACCCTACAGAGGTTTCCAAGGTTGCAAATCTTTTTTTTTCAAATAAACCATTTTACTGGGGGCTCTCACATATATTCTAATAATCCACACAGCCATTATATCACACAGACATGTACAATTATTGGTGTCAACAATTTCTTTTTTAAAAAAATCATTTTATTGGGGGCTCTTACAGCTCTTATGACAATCCGTCCATCCATCATCCATTTTTGTCAAGCACATTTGTACATATGTTGCCATCATCATTTTAAAAACATTTTCTTTCTACTTGAGCCCTTTGATTAGCTTTTTTCCCTCCCTCCCCTATCCTGCCACCCCCATGAACCCTTAATATATTTATGTATCATTATTATTATTTATGCATATCTTACATCGCCATTCTATCCCTCCATTTACTATCCTGGTATTTGTCCTGGCTGTCAATCTTTCATATGAGCAGACAGCCTCATTTATTTCCCACAGAGCAGCTGATGGTTTCAAACTCTTGATCTTGCGGTTAGTAGGCCAACTCTTAACCCCTACACCACCACACCTCCTCGGAAATGGATGTGAAAAGATCTCTACAAGCAGCTGGGGAGCTCCCAGAGTGGCCTGGGCTGCAGACACGGAGAGAGATGAGATCTCCCCTGAAGTCGATAGAGCCTTGCCCTGTAGCCCCTGGACTCCAGAGCCCACACCTGTGAGACAAAAACCCATTTTTCGAGCCGCCCCCACCTGGCATTTTCTGTTATGACAGCATTACTCTGTGATGGCAGGTAAGTGACGCCAGCCGCGCTACAGCAGGCACAGAGTGACAGGTGCCAACAGGACAAAGTGACAGGGCCACAGGATGGAGCTCGTCAGCCCAGAGCGTGGCTCATCACAAGCCCACCATGCCCAGCCACTGAGTGGGCACCACTGCCATAGTGAGACCGTGTGCACAAAGCAAAACAAACCCACACGGCCGCCTCGTCTTGCCAGGTTTGCCCGTTTACCCAGCGCACAGACGGAGACCTTTGCAGCTGATCAAGTCTGAGCCTGAAGAACCCGGGAAGTGAGGGGGCAGCCCGGTCAACCTGGCTCTGCCAGAGAGGTAAAGAGCAGGAGGTGAGAGTGGCAAAGTGACACATGCAGGGCTCTCCAGCTGGAGGTGGTGGGACTGGGCCTTGAACCTCCAAACCCAGAGCTCTTTCCCACCGCAGCCCACCAACGGAGTTACAGCTCTGGACTCACTGGCCAGGCAGGTGCACCCTGAGCTTCGAGGAAGCAAAGCCTCAGCCACACGGGCCTTTTCATTGCCTTACACCCTTGCTAAGTTCCAGTGAGACTCGGTGGGACGAGGAGCCAGGGCGAGCTGACTCTCCGTGGGACAAGGTAACTCATCGGGAGTGGTCCAGAACCATTTAAAAATCCGCCACCTGGGGATTTGTCAGCCTCGGTCCCAGTAAAGCTTTCCACCAAGAGAAGTGACATCAGCACAGGCTTTCCCAGGGTGGTAGAGCCCCTCCTCGCCTTTCCTGGGGGGCCACTTCTCCTGAGTCCAGCCCTGAAGATGAAGGCATGCCCAGGAGAGGACAAAGCAGCAGCCGGGGCCATCTGAAGTGATACAGCTGGTCCCACCCACAGTGAGCCAGCTTTGTGCTGGGCCCGCACTCTTCAGAAGGCAGACACTCGTTGCCTGGGGTCGGAGGGCCCTGGAATGGCGTTTCCAGAAGGAGACCAGTCTCCTCGTGGCAGAGGATGGATGCTGAGGCTCAGCCACGGCCACAAAGGCCACCCAGAGTCCCTCTCTCCAGAGTCCGGTTCCCCTCACCATGAAGGTGACCCCGTGGGGATGCTGGGGTCCTCCTTCTTGACCATGTCCTCCTAGTTTCTCCCTCTCTTCCCTTCAGAGGCCCCAAACTCTCTCTCTTGCTGTCACACACATACGTGTGCACACAGTAGCTCATGCACAAGCACCCCCCCCCCCCACACACACACACATAAGTAGGTATTACACTGTTCTTGATTTATGGATGAAGAAACTAAGGCCCAGATCACTGGTTCAAGAACAACAGAGTCAACAAGTCACGGTGCTGGGAGTTGTGTCTTTGAGGCGTCTTTCTAGAGCACAACTGACCACCTCATTCCAGGGCGAGGAGGGAAAGCATGAGTGTCCAGCTACTCCCACACTGCCCGCCAGGTGGTCTGGGAATTTACCCAGGCTGCTTTGCAGGGCCTGGGCACTGGGCACACAGCCGACACCCTTTGGGGTAACTCGGTGTCAGTAAGAACGTGAGACCCGCATGGTCTGGGAAGGCAGCTCTCTTTAACCAAACGGAGGTCTGAGGCTCGCTAATCGGCCTCAACAAGCCGCTGAAAATATCACTGCTCTGGATGAAAACCCATGTGAAAAAAATAAGAATAACATGGCTTTCAGGTCAGTTACCTCTGAGCAGCGGTCCGGCCAGGCAGGCAGGCAAGTGGGGGCCACAGCCCCACAGGGAGGCAGGCAGGAGCACACGGGGACAGGCACCAGCCGGGGATCAAAAGGCCTTTCTCTGCGAGCCCATGCCAGGGCACCACCACTTGAAGGACGTTTGTGTGGGGAGGCAGGAGTCCAACCGAAGGCTTCCAGCTGAACGCACCCGGAGTAAGTCACCTGGAGTGACAGCCCATGTCTCCACAAGTGACCTCTGAGAGGGGCTGGGGGTGCATGGGGGCACAAGTCCCTGGGGAGGCCCTGGAAGAGAAGGCCCATTTACAGGGCCACCATGATGGCCCAGGCTGCGGGCAGAGCTGAGGGGATATCCGATGACGGGGACACCCTGCCAGGGAGTGGCCGTGTCCCAAGCCCGCGATGGCAGAAGAGTGAAGCAGTAAAGAGCCTGTGCCAGCAGGCTAGGGTTTACCATCAGATTTGACTTGGGGACATGAGAGCCAGACAGGGCCCTCAATGAAGACGGGGGGCCAGGCTTGCCAGGGAGGCCCTGGGGGAGACCCCCATCTGTAGGAGAAAGGCTTTTGTCAGTGGAGATGAGGGGGCCTTGTCCTTCATTCCCTGGCCCCCAGCAAAGAGGCACACATGTGCTTCTTGGCTGGCTGTTCCCTTTGACACCCTACCGGCCAGGGCTCCACGGAGCACCTCTGCCAGTGGACTTAGAGGGCATGGCTCTGCCCCTGACACACCCTGGGAGCCGGCCAAGGGCGCCTCTCTTTGTCCTCAGGAGGCTGAAGCTTGGGACTGGCCGTCATGGGGGTGGGGGAGTGCTGTCCAATACACAGAGCAGAACGCTAGGCTGCCCTTCCGGAAGAAAGAATTAGTCAGAGCCCTGTGGCCACCGGAGAAGATAGCTAACTATCTGTGCGCAGCCTCACTGCTAAACCCTATGTGACACTCTCCTGCCCTGCTCTGGTGGCATCACCCATGCAGAAAACGCAGGTGGAGACGGTCTCCCTGGCGCAGGCTTAGAGTCAAGAGACTAAGCCAGGTTCTTCCTGCCCTTTGATGAATGGAAGATGCCACCTCCTTCTCCCTGACCGGAAGATGGAGGTCTTGCCAGAGCTTTTCCAGAGTCCCCTCGGCAGGGATGAATGACACGGCCAGTTGGCAGAGCTGCTCACTGCTGTCCTTTCGGGAGAAACACCCAGTCCACCCACACTGGCGCCTGCAGCTTGCCAGTGGGGATCGTGTGTGCTGGGAAGCCACTCTGCCCCGTTCTCCACCCGACTGTGGGGTTGGCACCCCTGACCCCTTCCTGCCTGGGAACTCTGGGTTCCTGTCTCTAACAGGCTAGACGAGTAACCGCAGCTCCTGTCGGTTCCTGGATGCCCCTCCCTTCCCTTGCCCCGGCAGGCCTGGTGGTGGTGAGGATGGCCCCTGTTGCTACCCTGGGTGGACTGCACCCTCTGTTACTGGTTTCCTTGTTAAGCAGTGGAGGCTGACCTAATTCATGGTGACCCCGTGCCTAGTGGGATTGAACTGTTGTGATCCATAGGTTTTCATTGGCTGATTTTCCGGGACAATGCCAGGCCTTTCTTCCATTCCGAGTCCATCTAGGTCAGAAAGCTCTGCTGAAATCTGCCAAGTATCTGTGACGGTTGATGTTAGGTGCCATACTGGCTGGGGCTATGATTCTCAGTGATTTGGCAAAACACTGGCATAGGGGCTCTTCCATAATATAATACAATGTAATCATCTTCCATTTTGTGATCTGACTTGAGCAGCCAATGAGTTGAAAGGGGGGTGTGGCCTGCCTCCAGTATATAAATGGGCAATCTGGCAAAGCCCATGCTCATGCTCTCTCTCTCTCTCTCTCTCTCTCTCAACCCTCCACTCTTCTTGTCACTTGATCACCATTCTTGTCACTTGATCACCAGTTCTCGGGATGGAGACCTGCAGGAGTCTCCAGACTGCTGCCTGAACTGCACATCCTGGCTTAGCCAGTCCCCTGCAATCCTTGAACCAGCAGGGGTCCCCAG